AAATCTGGGGTGGGATTTGGGGTGTGGTGAGTGCACCCAAAAGGCTTTGGGGGAAATCTGGGGTGGGATTTGGGGTGTGGTGAGTGCACCCAAAAGGATTTGGGGAAAATCTTGGGTGGGATTTGGGGTGTGGTGAGCGCACCCAAAAAGATTCCCAGGAAATTTGGGGTTCCCTGTGGGATTTGGGGTGGATTTGGGGTTTCTCTGCCCCCACAGCCGCGTTCCTCGCCCAATTCCTGTCCCTGGGCGTATTTGGGATGTGTTTAGGGTGGATTTGGGATGGATTTGGGGTTTCTCTGTCCCCACAGCCGCATTCCTCACCCAATCCCTGTCCCTTGGTGGATTTGGGGTGGATTTGGGATGGATTTGGGGTTTCTCTGACCCCATTCTCACCCCACAGCCGCGTTCCTCACCCAATCCCTGTCCCTGGGCATATTTGGGATGTGTTTAGGGTGGATTTGGGATGGATTTGGGGTGGATTTGGGATGGATTTGGGGTTTCTCTACCCCACAGCCGCGTTCCTCACCCAGTCCGTGTGCCTGGACGACACCACGGTGAAGTTTGAGATCTGGGACACGGCGGGGCAGGAGCGCTACCACAGCCTGGCCCCCATGTACTACAGAGGGGCCCAGGCTGCCATCGTGGTCTACGACATCACCAACCAGGTGGGGACATCTTTGGGGTCTGGGGGGTGTTTGGGGGCACATTTGGGGTCTGGGGGTACATTTGGGGAGGTTCTGAGGGATTTGGGGGCATTTTGAGGGATTTAGGAGGGCTCTGATGGGGCCCAGGCCATCATCGTGGTCTACAGCGTCACCAACCAGGTGGTGCCGGGTTTGGGGGCACCTTTGGGGTCTCTGGGGGTGGATTTAGGTTCTGTCGGGGGTTTGGGGAGGTTCTGTGGGGAGGTTCTGTGGGGAATTCTGAGGGATTTCAGAATCGGGATCTCAGAAGGGTCTCGGGTTACTCAGGAACCTCCACAGCCCAAACCCACGATCCTTCAACCCCCTGGCTCTTATGCCAATCCCGAAATTCCCCAAAATCCCCAAATTTTCCCCACAGGAAACCTTTGCCCGGGCCAAGAGCTGGGTGAAGGAGCTGCAGCGCCAGGCCAGCCCCAGCATCGTCATCGCCCTGGCCGGGAACAAGGCCGACCTGGCCAGCAAGCGCCTCGTGGACTATGAGGTGGGAATTGGGGCAGTTGGGGATTGTTTTTTGAAATTCTGGGAATTTGGGGGGATTTTTAAAAATTATTTTACAACTTTTTTCAGATTTTGTAAGATTTCTTGGGCGACTTTTCTTGAATTTTTAAATTTTATTAAAAAAATTTGGTTTGGGCTAATTTTTGGAAATTTATGAAAATGTTGGGGGATTTTTTTTTTTAATTTTTCTTACGGATTTTCTTTCTATTTTCTTTTAATTTTTTAAAAATTGATTTGGGATTTTGTTTCGTTAGGATTTTTCTGGGGAATGTTTTGAAATTATTTGTAACTTTTTGGGAAATCTTTTTAAATTTTCCACAATTTTTTATTGTGCGGGGATTTTTGGCAATTTTTTGGGGGAATTTTAGGGAGGAATTTTGAGAGGGGTTGAGGGGTTTAAGGGACTGGAATAATGTGGAATTTTGGGGGGGATTTGGGGGAAATTTTGGGATTTTTTGCCGCAGGAGGCGCAGGCCTACGCCGACGACAACAGCCTGCTGTTCATGGAGACCTCGGCCAAGACGGCCATGAACGTCAACGACCTCTTCCTGGCCATTGGTGAGGGGATTCTGGGGGGCCTTGAGGGATTTTGGGGTGTTTTGGGATGATTAGGGTGAGTTTTCTGGGGTTGGGGGGGTTTTGAGGGAATTTTCCCTATTCTCAGTGGGAATTTTGGGATGGGGACACGGGAGTGGTGGAAGGGAAATGGCTCCTCCCCAAAAACGGGAGCTCAGGAGTTCTGTGGGGGCTCCAGGGGCTTTTCCAGCCCCATTCCTGACCCCAAATCTTGAATCCCAAATTCTGAATCCCAAATCCTGCCCCAAATCCCCCCTCCTAAATCCCGTCTCCTCTCTCCAGCCAAGAAGCTGCCAAAGACGGAGCCGCAGAGCTCGGGCGGGGCCGGGGGCCGGGGCCGGGGTGTGGACCTGCACGAGCAGAGCCCGCAG